GATCACGTTAATCCTCCCAACACAAACGCTGGAGCGTCAGGCGCTGGGCCAGGGCGGCCTGTCCTTTCCCGTGCCCTGGTGCCTGTCCACGTGTGTCTCCGACGCGCTCAGTTCTACGCGTGTGCAGGAGCAGCCCGGCCCCCAGAGGATTTGAAAATGGCTAAGTGCTGAACTGTGGGGATGATGGGAGACTCGGCTGAGGAGCCTGAGCTGGGCCAGGAATTGGGTGGGGTCCGGAGAGGAGGAGACAGAGACTTGTCAGGACAGGTGTAGGCGGGACACCAGGAACTGGGGGCAGAAGGGGGACGGGCAGAGAGGTGTGGTGAGGCTTGAAGTCTAAGGGCTATGTGACCTTGAGTTAGTTATTTAACCTTTCTCTTCAACAGAGATCTCTCTCACGGTGAGAGATTTTTACTAGGGCAGAGGGGGTGAGGATCCAGCTCAGTTTCCATGTTGCACCTTTTTAAATTTCTCTTTTTTTTTTTGAGACAGGGTCTCACTCTGTCACCCAGGCTGGAGTGCAGTGGCATCCTCATAGCTCACAGCAACCTCAAACTCCTGGGCTCTAGTGTTCCTCCTGCCTCAGCTTCCTGAGTAGCTGAGACTACGGGCACAGGCCACCATGCCCAGCTAATTTTTATATATATATATATATATATATATATAATTTTTTTTTCTTTTTTGAGACAGAGTCTTGCTCTATCACCCGGGCTAGAGTGCTGTGGCATCAGGCTAGCTCACAACAACCTCAAACTCCTGGGCTCAAGCAATTCTCTTGCCTCAGCCTCCCGAGTAGCTTGGACTACAGGCATGCGCCACTGCACCCAGCTAATTTTTTTGGTAGAATCAAGGTCTCACTCTTGCTCAGACTGGTCTTGAACTCTTGAGCTCAAGCAATCCTCAAGCATGATTAAATGAGATCCTGCTCACAAGTTGCAGCCTCCTGGCATGCTAGGATTACAGGGATGAGCCACCACACCCAGCCTGATTGTTCTGGTTTTTTGTAGAGACCGGGTTTTGCTTTTGCTCAGGCTGGCCTTGAACTCCTGGCCTCAAGCAATCCTCCCACCTTGGCCTCCCAAAGTGCTGGGATTACAGGTGTGAGCCACCACTCCCAGTCCATTTTAGCTTTTAACAAAGTTCACTGCAAGGACCGTCTTCATAAGTCTCACTAAGTCCATCTGGCTCATTTCCACTTTTGTTGCTCTTAAAGACATACACAGCTGACCAGCAGAAGATGGTGAAGGGTCCAGGGTAGGGCCTTTTAGAAGCTCTAAACCCTAAAAAGATTATGGCCTTCCTCCCAAATGTACATAAAAATATATTAAATCATAAAATACAAAACTTGTCTGAATGCCAGGGTTAAAATAGCTTATTTTTGGGTTTTTTCCTCCTAAAATCCTGGATCACTTCCTTCATCAAAGTTAAACTTTTCTAGCAGTTTTGGTGTCCTTGCTTCCTAATATTTGCAGTGCCAGAAGCAAGTCCTTTTTCTGCCTTTTGGGTTGTCCAGCACCAAAGGAAAGTGAGGAGAACTGAACAAGTCATTATGGGGGAAGCAGCACATCCCCCGCCCCTCGGCCCCTTAGCCAGGCCAGGGGACCTAGGGGACCAGGCCAAGGCATGCTCTCTCCTTCCCTCTCCAGGTGAGCATGTTGAGGGGTCTGAGCTAGGCTCCAGTGGACCCCAGAGTCCCACATCCAGAGCAGTCTTGTTACTGGTGGTGCCCCAGACAGCAGCTCCTCCTGCCTTGTCTCGTGGCTGCTGCTTGGGAAGCGAGACACAGGGACTTTACTCTTGCTCGGCACCATTTCCAGGGACCAGAAGTAATGTCTCTTACCTGATCGGCAGTGTGACATGGCTGCTTAACAACCCGATTAATCAAACCCAGCTCATCCTGCTAGAATTAATGAGCCTAGGAAACGCTGCCATGAATAATGAGGGCTCTTGCCACTCCCCCAGCACCTCTCCTCACTCACCCCTCCTATTTCCTCCTCAGAGCCATTCGGCAGCTACTCAACCCCAAGAATGCTCAGGTCTTGGTGGGTACAGTGAGTGCCCGGCAATGTGGGCACCTGCCACCTCTTCTTCCTCTCCCAGGAACCACAGCTGCCCACCTGGGGCTAGAAGCCGGCCATGCCCTAGCGAAGCAAAACCTCTGGTTCATCAAATAGACACGCATGCGTTCAGCTGTCAAAGTCGGATTGAGCATCTGACAGTACCAGGCACTGTACTAAGTGCTGGGGATGCCAAGGTGCATAAGGCTCTGTCCCTGTGAGGGGTCACAGTGTAGTGACCACAGACAAATGGAGACTGCAAAACAGAGGGTTGAGGGTGGACCTGGAGCCACGGCGAAGGGGCCAGTTGATAATGAAAGAACAGAGGGGGAGCCAGGGAGGGTTTCGTGGGGATGAGCACCTGAACGTTTCTGCCACCAAGTTCACTCACTGCACAAATACACACAGAGTGCCAGGCAGTGGGCGGAATGCTGGGTGCCAGAGTCAGCAAGATGGACGTGGTTCCCGTTCTCATCCTTGTTCCTCAGGGCAGTGCAGGAAAGTCACTTGATTTATTTTCTCATCTACTCGTTCAAACACGAAAAGTTGCTAAGGGTGTAGGGCTCAGCTCCTGCAGAAAAAGGTGCAAGATGAACACCTTGCTCCTGCCTTCCAGGGCCACTCTGGAGGTGGACAGGCCTGCACAGAGATCCTCATAACGATGTGCTGAGTGGTCTGGCAGGATATGGCCAAGCCGCTCACACTCAGCATAGGGCGCTCAGAGATCGAAGCTTGAGCTCAAGCTGGGGAAGTCAGGGATGACTCCCTGTAGGGCTGGCATTAGAGCCCTCTAGGAGACAGAGTAGCAGTTTTACAGGTAGGCCAGGTGCAACAGGATATTCTAGACTTCATGTAGGCCAAGGTGAGGTCTTTGAGCGATAGAAGTTGAAGTGGAAGGGAAAGATGATTCCAGGAATCTTGGAAGGAAATGGCTAATTCTATAGTCTGCGGCAAAGAACACGATTAAAAGTGCAGATAGAGATCTGTGATGTAGAAGCCAGGAGCTTCTGTGCTTCTTACTAAAAGTTGAGAACCAGGTAGTTTTATGGATGGTGAAATCCCCAAATTAGCAGGGACATGGCTCAAGTGGCCATATCCCAAACTCAACAGAGTAGGGCTTAGAGATTGGGACTGGACATGCATGTGGTGGGTCGTTTGATAGGAGGGAGGCAGAGAGGCTGGGTAACTGAGCTAGGGGTGGAGGCACAAAGGATAAGGGAGGAGAGGCCGTGGGCAAGGCCAGAGGGACACAGGCTGGGAAAGGGGGTGGGCCCAATGGCAAAGGTCTCTGGCAAAGTAAACAGAAGACATGGGTGGATGGGGACCTAGTGAGCAAAAGCGGTGGACCCTGGGCTAGGAGGGTGACGAGACAAGAGAACAAACAAGTGGGGGATGAGAGAGAGGAGAGGGAGGAGGAGTGGGTGAAGCTCATAGAGGCACTTTGGGGCCCCCCTGGCAGGTGACACAGAGATGCAAGCTTCAGTCGTGGTCATCTGACATGCTTGCAGGGAGCTCTGGAGAAGGAGTCCAACTCTGCAGTCCACTCACAGGGGGTGTCAAATCCTGACATCGTGGAGCTTGGCCAGGTCCTTTGCCTTCCTGCTTCCAGTTCCCCCAGGTTATACTTCCCAGCCACTCCCAGCCAGGCAGAGGGTGGCTGGAGGGACCTGGGACTTCAGGGAGGGCATCTGCCCAACCTCCTAGGTCCCCAGGGATCAGGGATGGAGGCTGCACAGAGAGGACCTGGGTCTCTATGCCTCAGCCCACAGGAGACGGCAAAGGCGCAAGACCAGTCAAAATGACCCTCACAGTCTACTTTGAAAACCTGCACTCATTGTTAACATTTGACGGTTGGGAGATTTTACATAAAGATCCCCACTAGATCTCTGCATCTACAGCTGGCTGCAGCTGATGGTGGCTGTCCCTTTAACCTGAGTCTGGGCTTTCCAATTCACTCCAGTCTCCACCAGCTAGCTTTTGTCACTTATGTTGCCTGTCCTGAAGGCATTTGAGTTTGCAACCCTTGGCTGAGTCTTTACAGAGAGGTCTGACACCCTGTTTAGACAGCTAAGGCTTCCTGGGAAACCAGCCCCCTCATCCTCACAGAGCCCCAGGACCTGAGCAGTGCAGGAAGTATCGTCCTGCCGAGTACCAAGAGGGGCAGAGGACTCAGAACTGCTGGCAGAGCCGACTGAAGTGGCTTGGCTCCCACGGTGTGGGCGCTGGAGCCCAGGCTGAAATTGCCTATATTAAAATAATGTAAGGCCATAAGGCAGGACTAGTGATCAAAGTCTGACTAGTAGAAGTATAGCTATAGCTGAAAGTTAACTAGCCCTTGTTCCCTAACTTCCCTACTGCTGTAACTGCTTACTGCTTACGTGTCATTTATCCCTGATAGGTGTAAGATTGATGACTTCCCAACCAGCTTCTATAGATAACATCTCTATAGATAACATGCTATGGTAAAATCTAAGCCTGGTCTTTGAGATATCTCCCACACTGTGCATTGGGTCAACCGGACCAGTGGCCAGGCATGCAAACCCGTCCAACAATCCCGTTACCCCCTACCCAGGAACTCCTGTTTACCAAGAAGACAATTTCTGCTCCCCAACCCTATGAGTTCACCTCCCTCCAGTCATTAGACCCAGTTCCCTAGCCCTTTGTTCACCAAACTACCTTTAAAAATCTTAGCCCCAAATTCTTGAGAAGATAGATTTGAGAAATTTCTCCGGTCTCCTCACCTGGCCCCTAAACTTTCTCTGCAGCAATTCCTGCCATCTCAGCATATTGGCCTTCATCTCTCCTCCCGGGTGGAGTCTGGTGCCTCCATACAAAGCCTGCGGCCCTGTTGTGGGGGGCGTGGTCCCGCCTGGCTGGGGGCCCCAACACACCTCGGTACCAGACTCCCTGCTCGGCCTCACTCCTGCGCCTCTCTCCCTGCAGGGGGAGCTGCTGAGCCCCTGCCGCTGCGACGGCTCGGTCAAGTGCACGCACCAACCCTGCCTCATCAAGTGGATCAGCGAGCGGGGCTGCTGGAGCTGCGAGCTGTGCTACTACAAGTACCACGTCGTCGCCATGAGCACAAAGAATCCCCTGCAGGTACTGCGGGGCCTGGGCCTGGGGACCCCACACTGCCCGGGCTGGGGGCGGCCTGCGGGCGGGAGGGCGTGCAAGGACCTCTGTGTTTTCTCTTCTGCCTCAGCAAGAATAAGAGGAAGGGATGGGTCAACGAGAGAAATAGACACAGAAGGAAAGAAGTGCGGAGACCCAGGTGCAAGAGGGAGAGTAAGTAAGCCAATGGATGAATGAAGGGATGAGGAAAGGAAGAAGGAAGGAAGGAAGGAAAGGAAAGGAAAGGAAAGGAAAGGAAAGGAAAGGAAAGGAAAGGAAAGGAAAGGAAAGGAAAGGAAAAAGGAGTGAAAGGAAGGAAGGATGGACGGATGGAGGGAGCGAGAAAAAGAAAAGAAAGGGAGGAAAAGAAAGAGCAGAGGGCAGAAGAGAACGGGACCCCCCCAAAGACAGAGGTGGGCGGGGTGGTGAGCTAAAGCTGAGGACTGTGGAAGAGGTAAGGAGAGGGGACGCAGAGGCACTTCTCAAACTTTAACACATGTGTAATTCACCTGGAATCTTGGCCAATGCAGACTATGGTCAGTGGGTCTGGGGCGGGGCCTAAGACTCCGCATTTCTACCAAGCTGTCAGGTGATCTGCTGCGGCTGCACCCCAGACCATACTTCCAGTGACAGAAGATAGAGAGAAAAGTGGAGAAGAGGCAGGACAGGGAGGCAGAGAATAACGGGAAAACAGGCAAGAAGGAAGAGAGAAGGAGAGGAGAGAATGTGAAAAGGCTACTACGAAAAGGCCAGGGTCGGGTGAGGCCTGCTGAACAGATTCAGACGGAACTTAGGGCTCCCTCTGCCCCCACCCCAGCCTGCCCTGACACATCCATCCTTCCCTCATAAATGCCCCCCAATTCAACAGCTCTCCCTGCAAGGCGCACACATACACAGAGCATTTTGCTTCTGAAAATACCGCCACATAAGCATCACCAGCCGGTTGAGCTGCCACATCATCAATTAGCCACTATCATAGTGAAGATGGGACTTCAGCTGCCTGGCAGTTTCCCTGCTCCTCGCTGAGGCGGAGGGGGAGAGTCCATCCTGCAAGCCCGGGAGGGTGGGTGGTTTGATGGTGGCAGTGAGGGGGGGTCTTTTCACGGCGGGGCAGCGGGAAACACCTGCCCCTGCAGTGTCCAGGGTGTTCTACTGTAGACCTATGGAGTTTTACACAGGGTTCTCCCAGGAATGGGTGTGTGTGTTTGTGCGTGTGCAAGTGGGCTGGGGGTGAGGGGCACTCCCGGACGGTGGCACCAAAAGCCCCAGGCCACTTAGCCATCTTGCTGCTGTACAAAGGGACAGAATAAGAAGTGCCTTTCCCGGCTGCTGGTTCCATCTTCAATTCGCTTCAAAATCTTGAAGTGTCTTAAAATAGCAGTGTCACGAGACAGCTGATTCCACGTCCTCTGGGCTCGAGCAGAGGACTAAGTGCATTAACCCTCCCCTTCCTTTTCAGCAGGCGCAAGCCTCAAGAAAGGGTCAGATTCCAAACCCACGAGCCCACCACAAAGTACCCTACTTTGGCTACACCCTTGGCTCATAAAGTGAAAAACCATTTAGGGATAACTTTTTCCTGAGGGTAAAAAATAAGAAAAGTTTATTCTAATCTTATAAATCAGGTAAGTAAGTGGCAGTGTTGGCAATATTGGTCTACTGGTCTATTCTTCAGTTTCTACCCTGCCTTCAACTGTGAGTTTCTAGACACTGGGACTCCGTCCAATTCTGTTGCTCCTGGAAATGCAGTGATGTGTGCTCAGGAAATGTCATTTCACTTCTGGACAGGACCAGAAGAAGGAAGTAGTTGGGACTAGAAGCAGTGCTATGTGGTTGTGACCCACATTGTCCCAGTTGTATGTTTGGAGCTCTTTGGGCCCAGCCAAGTGTCAGACAGCTGCCTGCCCATCCTCTGTGGGCAGCTCCTGCTCCCACAGCCCAGCCAGCCAGACCGTCTGCAGTCTGGGATGGCACCGGCAGGTGCTACCGCAAGTGGGTGGAGCAGTGGATGGGGACCCCGGCGCTGCCTCCTCTGTCAAGAGGGGCGGTTCCTTCCGGGTCCTCTGGGTCTCTCACCTCCTGGGTCGCGCCCCGTACAAAGTTGTGAGACATCACACAGCTATCTACTGTGGGACGTCATCTCAGTGACACTCTGGAAGCAACGTTTCTAGCCAGAAGAACCACTGAGAAAGGAGTGACAGCAAGGTCCTTTGGATCTCGAGGCTGCGTGGCTGCTTCCTGCCCTCTCTTTGCTGCCTCTGAACTGCAATTATATTAGTGAACATGCAGTCAGTGATTATTAGGTGCCAGGCAGTGTTCTAAATATTCACATATATTATCTAATTTAATCTTGAAAACAACCTGATGGCATGGGTACTATTATTCTTAACTTACAGATGAGACAATGGAGGTGCAGCATGTTTAGCCGTGTGCCACGGTCACACAGCTCTTAAGTGTCACACAGGGCATTCGACTCCTGGGTCCAGGCTCTGACCCTCTACCTGTGGTGCACAGACACGTTTGGGAAGACCCTGCCTTGGCACGCTTATCTGTATTTTTACTGAAACATAGTAAAGAACACCCTTCAGAGCACTGGTTTGAAGGGTTATTTCATGTAACCCTCTCAATACTAGGAAGTAGGAAGGACCAATTATTTCTGTTTTTATGGAAGGAAAAATGGAGGGTTCTCCTGATTTATTGACTTCCACAGGGTCACACTCAACAAGTAGGAGCAGAGCTCAACTACACTTGGCTCAGCGCCCCTTCCTGTTACTAGGAAGGAAACATCCGGTCTTGTGCTCTTCCGCCTTTGTCCGATCGTTGGTGCTGCAGGACAGGAGTTCAGAGGATGGAGACCTCTAACGATACTGAGATCAGGATCTCGCTTGGAATGAGGTTCCAACTTTCTGGGTGGCTGGTGGCAGCACGGCCTGGCACCAGGAGTGTGCTTCTCCCCTTCCCAGCCCTCCTCTGCGATTTCAGAGCTCACTCGTTCTCTCTCCTTTCAGCTCTTCCCCCACATCTCTGTGTACCCCCACACGATGCAGACAAGAGGAGAGTGGCTCGTCCACAGCCCCCCCACCCTGGTCCTTCATCATCACACCGCACGTTGGGTCAGGAGCCCCGTTTGCATTCCACAGGTGGCTTGGGGGATGGTAGCAGGGGCTTTAGGGATGAAGGGGACCTTTCTGTGCCTCTGCACTTGGGATTTTTGAAGTCTAGAGGAGCAGGAGAAGGTGAGGGTTATTTATGTCTCAGTGGTAGAAACCAAAAGCTCAGGCAGAAGCTCTCTCCTTCCAGGTAGCGCTTTCCTGGGAAAAGCATTTCTTGTACATGAGAGAAGCCTTACGATCAGGCCACCTTCTGGAAAATTTCTCTGTTATGTGTAACCCAAGGCTGGGACCAGCAGTGGAAAACGTAAAGGCCCAATTACCTGTAATGGGATCTATCTGTATACTTACACGCAAAGGCTGATATCCTACATCTGGACCAACAAGTGATTTGCTTTCCAATGGTTACGATTGCTTGGGGGCCACTGGCCGCTCCCAGCTGGAGCCAGAATCGGTGCTTCCATCCAGCGAACACGTAGTGAGGGGCTCCCTGTTGGCAGGTGGGAGGTAGCCTGCCTTTGCTCCAAGTTCAGACTGAAATGCTTTCTGGGGGTGTTCTCTGCAGAGTGTCATGCACATCTCTCCAATCGGAAGATGTCTTTCCCCCCGCCTTCCCAAATCTGATCCTGTCAGCTCCCTGCTTAAAACCATTCATGGCATCATGTTTACTCTTAGGACAAAGTCCAAAATCTCTGCCTATTCTACAAGATTCAGGGTGGTCTCCCCTCCTTACTTTTCCAGTTGTTTAATCCCACAAACTCTTTTGCTCTCTCCTCTCCACCCACTTGGACCTTCTTCTGGGTTTTCATACTCAACATGCTTTCTTCTGGCACAGGGCCTTTGCACATGCTCTTCCTGCTGTCTGGAGCACTCTTTCCTGCTTTCTTTGCCTAGTAAACACCTACTCAGCTCAAGCTTCACTTCCTCTGGGAAGTCAGATCTCACTATCATAAGCTCTCACTGTGCCATATTCCTTCCTTTCTTACTCTGATGAATTATAGTTGTAAATAATTATTTGGTTGTCTAAGTTCCCTGGACTGTAAGCACCACAAGGGTAAGGACCTTGTCTGTCTTTGCCTTGTGCCTAATCTCCAGCCCTTGGCATAGCAGCCAGCACAGAGAGAGTACCCAATCCATGAGTAAGTGCATGCATAAGCCCCAAGTTAGAATCCGACTCTTAGCTCATTTAGGCCTGTGCTGCCTGGATCAGCCATAGAATCACAGAATTACAAATGACAGAGTTGAAACTCACCCACACCCCAGCCTTTAACCCATCCATCAATACTGCTATAAGTATAGTGCTTTTTCTGTTAAAAAATGAAATATCAGTGTTGGTATACATTCAATAAATTCTAAGCTCTTTTTCTTATCCTGTGTCCTCTCTTTGTCTGTTGAATTAGTAATCTCCAGCACATATAAATTATGTTGCATGCAAGGTGGTATCGCAGAAAATAAGCCAAGGGGGGATAAAAAGGCCTGTGCTCTCTCAGAACCTATTAGTGAGAAAATAGACCATATTGTTCTGAAAAGAATATTCTGGGGTGCTGGAACGCCACCCACACTAGCTCTGCATTTTCATGTCTCCCTCCATTTCTCTGTCTATACCGTTATCCTCCTTCCCAGCCATGCCTGCCCAGAACCCCCTCCTTACAATGAATTACGATCACTTGGCGTAATCCAAAAGTTCAATGTGAACCTCAGAAACCTGCAAAAATTCCATTGTACTACAGGTTGGAATGTCAAATCAGAGGTGAGCTGTTGGAGCAGCAGAAGAAAGAGGGTTGGGGACGGGGTGAGGGCGCCCGAGCAACAGCTGACCTGCCCCCTGTCTTCCCAGTGGCAGGCCATCTCCCTGACAGTCATCGAGAAGGTTCAGATTGCAGCCGCCATCCTGGGTTCCCTCTTCCTCATCGCCAGCATCTCTTGGCTCATCTGGTCGACCTTCAGTCCCTCGGCAAAGTGGCAGCGCCAAGATCTTCTCTTCCAGATCTGCTACGGGATGTACGGCTTCATGGACGTGGTGTGCATAGGTGGGTCTGGGGCTTGTCTCCTTGTGGCGTGGCGAGCCACGCGGCAGTGCGATGCGCAGATCCCTCTGGATCCCTCTGTGTGGGAGGCCAAAGCAGGTGTGGCACCCAGCTTGAGATCTGCGAGCTGGGGAGAGGCCAGTGGCTTAGATTGCAGGCGTGCATGGGCAAGAGGAGGAGGCAGAGCAAAGAAGAAAGATCTAAATCTTTCCTGAACAAATCTGTCTTGTCTAACTGGAGATAAAAACGAGGAGGCTTGCCTCTAGGGAGATTTGGGGTGGGTCAGTTTGTCGGTCTATATGCCTCCAGCAGGTGTGCAAGGCCTCTGCTCCACTGTGTACGCCACGCTGCCAAGCACAACACTGATGCCTGTACACTCAATTCCATTCTCTTCATAGCAAAGTGCCTAGAAACAGCCACAGTGGCATCTGCCCTCCCTTTTTTCTGGCTTTCTATAAGCCTGTGCCAATGCCTAGGTTTCTCTAGTGGTTCCAGCCGGGTGTGGTGCTGGGGCCCCATGCACAGCTCCAGGGACCCCTATGGGAGTGGGAAATAGAAGGCTCCCCTGCTTCACCCTGGACTTCTGTACTCTCATGGCTTCAGTGTTCTAGAAAAAAGTTTAGTTCCAGCTTCTTCCCTGACTCCGTTTGCAAGTCTGTATGCCTCCTCTCTACTACCATGTTGGGGCGGGTGGTAGAGGGCTGGGTCTTTTTTCTCCCAGCTTATTATTGTGGTTGCCGACTCTGAAGGTTTGGTCAAGGGGCGAGGAGTGGCCTGGGTTCTCCAAGTGAAATGAAGCATGCTTAAGCATGGCCACACGTCCTAACCTGGGACTCTCATCTTGTCCTCTAGGTCACAGGACTGGGAGCGTTAGAGTTCCACTGCTGTCTTCTCTGGGCATTCGTATGTGTATTGTATTAAACATGTGACACTGCTCTGTTTGGCAAGAAAATATCTATTAGCTACAATTTGGCTGGGATAATGTCTATGTGAATTTCTTTGGGGTCCTTTAATATTAGGAATTAGAAGGGCCTAGAGACTTGCATACTGGTCGCAGCAGCCAGAGACCAGGGATGCTGGAACTCGTAAACGTGTCTAAGCCATCTTGCTGCCTCTCCATGCTAGCAAAACCAATACATCAACTCCAAGTTCAAGAGCCTTTTAATTATGGCACCTAGGCAGTGAGAGGAACAGACAGCCTAGGTTTGGAAGACTGTGAGTGGGGAGGAACTTGACATTCATGCATTCTAATTTATCTCCCCCTCCCACCAAACTCTCTTCCTACCCTGCTGATCCCTGGATTGTTGATGCCAAAAGCCAGGTGCGTCTCCATATGGAGGTTTGCGGCAGCTCTGGCATGGAGGGGAAAGTAGAGGAGGGCCTTCCTGTAGGGGCCCCTCCAGCTGCCCTTCATTCTCCTTCAGACAGGCTTTAGCTCAGTCCCTGACGTGTGCTTCTCTGAGATAATGCTTTCACATCACATGGCGTATTAGTCAGTATTGGCTGCAATAACAAACAATTCCAAGATTGCAGTGTCTTACCACAAATATTTACTTCCCATTGGGGCTTTGTGAGATGGCTGTGGTTCTGCTGGGCTTGGCTGGGCTTAGCTTCTGGCTGTGCCCTGGTTCCAGACCTGCTCCGAGTGTCTCCTTATGCTGGGACCTAAGCTAAAGGAGCAGGAACTACTGGGACGGGCTCTTTTCCTAGCCAAGTGCAGGAGCACGAATGGGCTGGTGGAAACTTGCAATACCTCTCAAAGCTCTGCTCAGACTGGCACACTGTCCCTTCCGCCCACAGCCAATGCAAGTCACCAGTAAGCCCAACATCAATAGGGTGGTGAGATGGTGAGGTATACTCCTCCTTCCTGGGAGGGAGCGTGGGCCAGAGAGAGGAGCATAAACACCATCCAATGCAGATAATGCCACAGATTCGAAGACTGAGTAGAACACAGAAGAGACCGTGTGATTGAGCAGTACAACCCCTTTGTTTTGCAGCTGAGAGAGCAAGGGCTCAGAGAAGGGAAGGAGTTTGCTCAGGGTTTTTGGCTGATTAGAAGCAAGGTCTCCTGACTCAGAGTCCAGTGCTCTGTCCATTAGCACTCTTGCATCAGATAGCAGGAGTCCCACGGCATGACTTATGGGATGTCTAAAGATGCCACCTGTGACTGTGAGTGCATCTGGGCCCACTTCCAGGGCCTCCCTGTGGCTCTGAGCCACCAGCGCTCCTTCCCTGGTCGGCCTGGTGCCCTGGTCTCTCCTGCTCACGGAGCCTCCTCTGAGCAGGGCTCGGTGCCGCTCTCCTCCTCCGTCTCCTACTTGGCTCTTTCTATCTGTCTGCCTTCTCCCTGGCCCACTTCTGTCTCTCTCATTCTTTTTCTTGTACACATGGTGACCTCAGTCCTTCAATTTGTGGTAGAAGAAGAGTGAGCTGAATATTGAGAGTTTTCGCATTGTTTTCCTTTCTTCCCTGCTTTTAGGAAAACATAACAGCCCAGGATGCAAAGCCACAGCATAGTCTGTCCATTCTGCTGTGACAAGCCAGGGACTGCTTGGAGACAGCCATTGGATGGGAGGGGGATGCATGGGGACCCTGATTGCTTTTGGTGTCATCCAAAAGTGGTCAGATATATTGACAGTTGGACCATCTCACCTTCAAGGAGCTCAGACTGCTCTTTCATTTTATTGATTATAGTAATAATTGGAGCTAATTCAGTTTCAGAGCATGTCCCTGGGGACAAGGATTATTCTTCTCATTTTTCAGATCGTGAAACTAAAACTGAAGGATTTGTCTTAGGCTGACTCAAGCGGCAGAGTAGGACTCTCAGTTCAGTGTTTTTCCAGGAGAGGCTGTCCATAGGGGAAAATGCTGGGAGATGAACAAAAAAACGAGTGATACGGGATCTAGACAAGAGAGTGGGAGGTGACAGGCAATAGTGAGAATCCACAAACAGATTCTTGTGGGTGCAGTCATGGGGGTTTGGTGATGGCAATGATCATCAGTAGGGATGATGGGGGTTTCTAAGGGTGAGATTCAAGTATTGGTCATTTCTCCTCTGCAGTGTTCTGGCCAGTAGGGGAAAAACACATAGCGCCACACAAGTGGGTATAAAAGTATCTGCTTTTTAGGAGCTATCTGGAGGGATAATCAGGTGGAGCCCATGACGCCTGCCATGATACCTTTATTTTTAGGCTCAACTGGACATTCCGACTCAATGGGACTACCAGAGAGCACACGTGGCATCAGAGTCACTCAGAGGAATGTGGGGCAGCAACCACAGTGCCTGGCATGGCAAGCTGGGCTCACCTCTGCAGGGGGGGTCCTCACCCTATGCCACATCCTAATCCAGGGCTGGTCTCTTAGCGTGCAAACAATAGCTCAGGGGCAAGGAGATGAGATCCATGACAGTGGGTGCAGGGGCCACCTGGGCACAGCGTCCAGGGTCCCCGCAGAGGTCATATTCCATTCAAGTCCCTGTACTCAGGGCAGCCCAAAGACACAGCCTCCAGGAGTGAAGCCCCCACCAATCAAGGGTTATCCCTACTCCAGGAAATGTTGTAACACAGCTGATACTCCCCCTTCATCAGATTTCCAGGGGGAAAAGAGCGAGAATGCCAACCCAGGGTCCAGTTTGTTCTGCGAGAAGGAGACAGTATGCCATCACCCCTCTCCTACAGCCTCCCACCCCTATAGGTGAAGCTGGACCTCTGGCCACCCACACCTGATTTACTACTGAACCAATGAGAGGCAGAGAAGTTAGAACAGGGGGCAGAGACCTGGCTGGGTCTGCCAGAAGGAGGCACGAGGTGGTCTTCTTGCCCCCATGAAGACAGAAACATAGGCAAGAGAGCCATGGCGGGGGCACCTGTCTACTTTTGAGGCACTCACCAGTTTCGAAACCTGATAAATGAGTTTACTCCAGTGGAAAAGGGGAAAACCTCCCTTCCAGAAGTCCTGAGAAAGCAGATAAAGATGATTTGGGAAGAGGAAGAAGAGGCTCCCTAGCAGAGAGTGGGAGGAAGGGATGCTGGGAGAGGTGTGTATTCTCAGGAAATGTTGGCTGAAAACCAATGACGAGTGGAGGAATCCATATCCACATACCCAGGCTCCTTGGATGGATGGGGCAGTTCAGCCCTGGATAGAAAGAAAAGGAGTGTAGCCCTGTGTTAGCTCAGAAGGCTGAGTAAGAGAAGAGGAACAAGACCATCTGCTACTGTGAGTCTCTGGACTTTCCCCATTTTTCAGATACCAGGAACAATTTATCTATTCCTTAAGACTGTTAAATGGCCACAGATAGTAAAGAATATGAGTAAACATAAAATGGATAGGTTTAATGAATCCCTAAAAACATATTTTCCTTCCCAATTGGAGCGGCGTGCTGAGGGAGAGCTCACGAGAGTGGGAGGGACACTGAGGAGAAACTCCAAGGGTGCCAATAGCGGCTGTGCAGACACTCCCTGCCGTGGGGCTACATCAGCCCCACCCCCGGCCGCGGCCACTGGGCTGGCTTCCAGGATGGTCAGTGGGCAATGAGAAGACTCCAGAGCAATGACTCAGAGAATGGCCTCCAGTGCCCACTGAAGGATTCTGCCGGAGATGATTACCAGGAAGGTCTGGGTTCCCCGTTTGCTGCGGCACAGCTCCAGAGTTGAGGACAGTGGCGCTGGACTTGGTCCTATCAGAGGGTTGTGCATGTAGTGATACAAGCTGCCGCTACAGACAAAGCATGTCTTGGCTCAGAGCCCCAACTTTCTAGACCAGTGCGCGCCACCGTGAAAGCCAAATGTGTGTTGCGGTGGACACAGCAAACCATCACATCCCTGCAAGGACAGAGAGGAACTGATTTAGGGCACAACAACCCTAAAAGATAAGCAGGGTGAGTATTATGATCCTTATTTAGCAGGTGAGGAAAGACTGAAAGCAACTGTGTTCCAGGTCGCACAGCTCAGCAAATGGTGGAGCTGAGGATTAGACCAAGAACCTCTGGCTCCAACTGCAGGGTG